CCCTCCTCTCATAACCTATTTCCGCCTTTCAATTCCTACTTATTGAAATTCCTCATATAACACTCTTTCTTGCCTTTAGACTTCCTATAATTGATCAAGGTGATTGTTTGAATGTTCAAAACGGTCACCTTTCACGTAACACAGCTGCAGCTATTTTATAATTCGCCTGAATCAAATTTTACCGCCAGGAAGTAAACCTGACTAGTTCGGTAGTCGATCTTTCTCGACCAGCTTGCAAACTACGACGGCAGCAAATGACACCTATGACAAAGGCAACATCTAGGTTTTGTTTACTTTTCCAAATGCGTCAATTGAATATCAAAACAGGAACGCCAAGTAAGTATTGACAATTGTAACATATTGGCCTTCCCTCTACACTCATTATTTTCATCTCTTTATATAAATGAATGAAGATATTTTGACTTTTCTTCCTTTTCTGGAGTACCAAGTTTGTTTATAATAATAAATTCCTTTAAAATGTTCTTAATCAAAGGTAGACAACCAACCCTACTTCGCAGTTGTAGTGTGGGCTGCCTATCTGAACTGATATCAGTGTATTTACATAGAATAAAATAGCCCAATGTTACTTGGCGGGAAACAGCACGTAACAGTAATACTACTCGATCAGACTTTCTCATATGATGCCATGACATTTCTATGATTTTTCCTAAAACAAAAAAAATTGTATATGGCAAAAGCTCGAAAAGCCAACAAAAAATGCAGTACACACATATGGTGTTGGCTGTCACATGTGACTACCAGCCCCCGTCAAGTTGAGACAACCAGCCCCAGAACACATTTCAAAATATAACCCCCTGAAATAACTCTGAATCGATATCCATTCATAAAAACGGATAGTGATATCATGAACCACATATGTCACATCAGAAATACATGAAATGATATATATCTACGGAAAACTCTAGTATACTTATGAGACTCGACACAAATGCACAAAAATTTACTTTTGCCGTCCGAAAAAAAAAGTATGAGAGGGAACTGAAGTGACGTTAGGATGGAGATATTGCTCTCACGATCCTTCGATTTTATTCGATAAACTTTTTCGTTTGTTCAATTTTCCAATATGGCCGCTGTAACAACCAACCCGTGAGACAACCATACCCGATCTCCCCTACGTCGTTAGCGATACACCATTCAAATTGAGGTAAAAGGTTAAAACGTGACGAGAACTGTATGGCATTAGGGTGAATAAAAATTAGAAACTAAAAACTTGAAAATGAAATAAGTAAAAAAAATGTTAAACGGTTTCATTGGAAGAAAAGATAATAATCATGTAGATAATGTACTAAAAACTAAAATACGCCCAACGATTTCATTATTTTTTTATCTGATCAATACTGTAGATTGCTGAGGATAGTGGTGTGATGCCTGCTACCTAGGACCTTGAGAATTATGTATTAGTTTTTATTACATTATATACATCATTATCATTTTTTTTATATAAAACCGTTCAACATAAACATCTTTCTACTCATTTTATTATTGTCCAACTTCCTGCAATTCATAAACCAAGGAGACAAAATCTATAACAATAATTGAACAATTTTCACAAATATTTTTTATTTCTAGACGCATTTTGCTAACACCGTGACTTCTTAGGTAGCTTCCTACCGAGTTTTTCCAGAAAAATGAATTTTTTTATCACTTCACGTTGACACTGTCAATTTCAGCCATTATACAATAAAAACCAACCTTCAACAAGCTATTACTTCTAATAGTATCTAATATGATTCAAAATCTATGAAAGAACAGATAAAATCAGAATCAATTAATACAGTATGATTCTCACTAGATTTTTTCGATGAAATACTTCTTGAGTCATTTACCTAACACCGTATGCCTGGGGTTTATTAATTGAGAAATTGACTCTTTCACTCGCAAATAAGTCGAAAGTAACTGACTCTCTGAAAAAACTTTATCAGGACCAATTGATCTATCCATTCTCGTAATTAATTATAAAAAAACATTTTTTACCTCCGATAATGGACGGTAACTACCCCTACGATAAAAGCAACTTCCCGTTCGAAGTCGAACCGGAATACGTGTTTCGCTATGCAATAACTTCTTCAGGCGTGTCTATACTGCTGTATCTATAGACACGACTGAAGAAGATATTGTATAGCGAAACATGTGTTGTGTATTGGTAAAACTGTTTAGTAAATATCTCACAAAAAACGTTCCTTGAATCGAATCGATGCTGTATGACAAAATTATACAGTCTCGCCATATTTTACCTTTCATGATCTAAATTTAGTACGTCAAATTATTATTTATATTTTCTCAACCACATTACCCAAGTAGACGAAAAGGACTCTCCCAGATTGGACGTTACAGGTGATTTTATAAGATGGAAAGTAGATATGTATGAAAAATAAAACTGATAACCGTCAAAATGTATGATTTCCTCTCAACTTCCACATTTCCTGCACCTCCACGACACACATAAGTAGAATAAGAAGAGCATTCAAACATTGCGGAAATTATCACTTTAGATTTTTCAAAAAGTACCCTGAATACCGGTTATCCGTTTCAGAGTAGGTACTGAAAGCTATTAATTGTTTCTCCAAAAACCTTGCACGTTGAATTTCATTTGTTTTTGTCTACATACGGCGAAAGGATCCACTTTCCGGGGTGGGGCCAAGTTCAAACTGAAGCATATACATATAAATAAATTGAAATCTATTCTGAATTCAACATTCAGTTGCAAATCAAGCTTACAACATGGCATTCAAAGTAAGTGTTGCTGCGTTCTGCGTTACTAAACTGCTTAATATTTGTATATTTAACGTTTTGTTGCAATTCTGGTGATTAGAAGAGGGAAAATATTTTCAAATAGTAATATGTATTATCGATTTATTGGAAATCAGTGAATAATAGGTGTTGTTGATCTGAGAGATGAAGTTTATTTGACCAAATCGAAAGAAATATTCATAAAAATCATCCAGATAATAATCTAGTATTGATTGTTATTGATTTTCATCCAGTTGCCAAAGATTATTTTTTGTACTTCAGACATAGATGATATTGAAGCTATTCCACCGAAATGATCACAAATAGGTAGAATTTTTTGCCTCTCAATGTCGCAATCTTGATAGAAATTGCTACTCAATAAAATATTTTGGTGCTAAGCTGAAACTAATCATAAAAATCAAATTCAATTATTTTCCAAACATGCTACTAATATGGAAAAAATACATGACTGACCTACCGGCACATGTATATCTCAATAGTGAACGTTTTCATACTGTCTATTTTTTCATAATGCCCTAATGGAAACATGTTCCAGTGACTAACATACATGCGAATGAGTTGATATACTTTGACAGTTCTACCACTACACGTGTTTATCCGCAATGAATTTTGTAAATGATATTTTCATTCCGTATTTGAATTTTTGGCACATGGTGTCATTGCAGATTCAAATCGATGAAAATCTCTTATACTTCCAGTTCATCATATTCGCTGCCTTCGTAGCCGTTGCCCAAGCTAGTGTGAGCCATGTTGCTCCAGCTCTTGCTCTTGGCTCCCACAACTCCGTCTCCAGTTACTCCACTGTACAACAGCACAACCCGATCATCCAAGCCTACGCTGCCCCAGCTGTTCATGCATATGCTGCTCCAGCTGTCCATGCATATGCTGCTCCAGCTGTCCACGCATACGCTGCCCCAGCTCTTCACTCATACGCTGCTCCAGCTGTCCACGCCTACGCTGCTCCAATTGCCAAGGCCGTCATTGCCGAACCATCTGCTCCAGCCAACTACGATTTCGGATACGGAGTAAATGATCCCCACACCGGAGACAGCAAAAGCCAACACGAATCCCGTCGTGGTGATGTTGTCCACGGCAGCTACTCCCTCATCGAATCTGATGGCACCAAGCGTACTGTAGACTACTCTGCTGATGCCCACAACGGTTTCAACGCTGTTGTCCACAAGGAACCAGCCGCAATTGCCGTCAAAGCTGTAGCTCCAGTTGTAGCTAAAGTAGCTGTCCCTCTTGCCGCTCCAGATGCTCACGCTTATGCTGCTCCATCCTTTGTCCATGGAGCTGTTGCTCACGGATATGCCGCTCCAGTTGTTGCTCACGGTATTGCTGCCCCAGCTCTTGCTCACGGATACGCTGCACATGGTCCAGTAGTTGCACATAATGTTTGGTAATTCAGAATGAAACTTCCTTTGTGAAAATTGTAGATAATGTATTTATACAATATACGATAACTGTTTGTTGAATCATTGTTTTATTACTTTCCGTAGGATTACTAGCTTTCCATTCAATTCAAATGTAGGTGTAGTTTCAAGAGTTTATATGTCTAAAACTCAAATTTGGGTTCAAATTCCCCACCAACATAGCTATAGCTATAACAGTCATTTCGAAATGTAAACTGAAATACAGAAAATACAAAATACAAAAATACAAAATGGATTCGAACGAGAAGGCAATTTTGCCGCCTTCTCTTCACTTGGACGGCTTAAAAAAACAAAAAGGCTAAATAAAACTGATTGCTGGTATTTCAAAGGTTGGAGATTTGTCTCTCTTTTAAAGATACTTTGACGAGAGGTATTTAAGTGACTTGGCACATTTGATTCCACCAAGAGCGGTACATACCAGAAATACACGACGGACTGTGGCTGCTCATCGTTTTGATATTTAACTCAGTACACCTCGAACTTCACTGCTTAACAAATCTTCCATTTGGAGAAGTTTGTGTGTCTTCACCATTTTTCTGTAGTGCTGGTGTTCTGTGCTCAACAAAAATAATAATGTAAAAGAATAACTTGCACTACATCGAATATTCCAGAAGTCAATCAACAACACTGACATATTTTACACTTCAAAACTGCTCAAAACTTGCAAAAATAAACCGAACTGCAGTGAACACTGCAAGTTATATTCTAAAGATGAAAAGCAAATATCTGTACAATTTCTCAGCTCTTTTTCAGATGAGCGTAATTAGTTAGTATGAAAAGTTTGCTTTTTCTACACATGTATAAAGTTTTCCATTACAATCATTTTTTTAGATAGTGGAAGACGAAAGTCCCCAAAAGAGTCAATGAAAAACTATACATTTTTCGAAAAAAAGAAAGGTTTTGGCTATCTACTTATCTTGCATTTTGCGTTTCCCACTTTCATAAAAATCAATTTCGTGCATCTCATGATTAGTTGAAGATTTCTCTGTTTTCAGCTAAGTTTAAATCTACTGGCTTGGTTGAGAGTAATTTTAGAAAAGCACATCAGCCTTCTAGACATACTGAAGAAGTGGAATTTGAAATATGTTTGGATGTCGTAGAACATAAAAAAACAAGTATTCAAGATATTGCAGATAGAACAGATGTTAACCGAGAGAGTGTATGACATATTTTACACAAAAATAAATTTACGCCTCATAAACCGAAATTTATCAATACATTAAAAGAAAGGGACTTCGATATGCGCTTGTATTTTTCTTTTTGGTTTCAAGGGGAAAAAGAAGAAAATTATCATTTTCCTTATCAAATTTTATGGACAGATGAAGCGACCTATATCGCTGACGTACAACGAATTCCCTGGAGCAATTCTCTGATACAATGCCCACTCGTTGTGCAATAAAAATAACGAGCTAATTAAAATCATATTCGGCGGTCTTGATATAGTTATTATTAGCAAACACCGGTTCTTCGCTTCGGCGTCGGAAATCTATCGGAGACCGAAGTTCGTCCTTCAAGGACCTTGCTGGCCAGGATGTTTTTGGTCAAAATAGGTGAAAGGTCCGAATTTGTTCCGGGGTGGGGTCGGGCGTTAGCTCAAGAAAAATCGTATAAATAAAATTGGAGCGATTTGAAATGTATTGTTAAGTTCACCGACTAGCAAGAGACATGGCATTCAAAGTGAGTACTGACAAACATACTTGTGGTAATTGTTGTTACGAAGTGATATTCAGAAAAAATTATCAATTGAAATGATTTATTGGAGCAGTCGTAACAAATATTTGGTTCACTGTCCAAAATTATGAACTACATTCCGGAAAAATATTGCTTTAATTTCGCAAAAACAACACTTGTAAAAATATCAAATGTATGTATAAGCTGAATCAGAAGAATCAAATTATTCGAAACTGAAAATTTTCTCGATTTGAGAAATCCAAAATATGTGAAAACTTCACAATTGAAGCAAGCTTTCCACAAAAACCTATATTTTCAAACTACTACTGTTCCGTTAGAAAATCTTTCGAAAATTTCAAAAATTTCTTCAAAAAAATATGAAAAACATAATAATATATTCTGTAATGATTTTCATAAAAGTCTCATAATGTTTTTAAAATCACAGATTTATCTTTCTACTTGTGGTCGAATTTCGTTAGTTTCATATTGTTTTCAGTCCATCATTTCATTTATCATTATTTTGTCAACAACATGTAAGTTTTGAAAGTCTTTTTTAGTACAATTTGATCATGAAATTGCTTTTTGAAGCATACAGTATCAAGAAAATCAATTTTTTTTCTTTCCTTTTGAGTCTTTGAGTGAAGATAAATCCAAATCCATTCAACCAAAAAGAAAGCGTTTTGTCATCGACTGGAATGAGAATTCTGAATGTCGAACTCAATAATATGGAATTGTCGAACTGAACATTTGTATTTGTTAAGCATTTCCAGTTCATCAATGTCAGTTCAATAACTAAGTAAAAATATTGTCATATTATCATTCCCAATCAATGGTTGGTTGAATCTGAAGTTCCAAAAGATTTTCCTGAGACCTTCAGTTCAAGGATATTAAAAAGATATCACTGTGATAATTATAAAGGCAAATCTGCCTCCAAGAAAATTTCCACGCAAAGACCAGTTGAATAACCTCAAATTGATTAAATATAGAAGGGATCACTTTATGACAAAAAAGCTTTTCGGTTTTCACTTCTTCATACAAAAAACAAGACATCTTCTTCATATCGGCAGGTGTAGGCCAAGACTCGCCGAACACACGGGATTCAAATAGTAAATTATAATAACTTTTTCCTATTCAGTATATTCTCCAAACATCCATTTTTGAAGAAATTAGTGCTTTACCTTCTTATTTGTGAATGGTACTGATAAGGTGGTAAGATAAATGTTCTATTCCAAATTTTCGAAAACAGCCATTGAGGGTGACAGTGTTCCGTGTAGATGATATTTCATATTGTAACTTTTTCATAAATTTATCTTATATATCATTTCTATGGATAATATATAACTCGATTTCCTAACAAATGTTTGAATTACAAACTGGTTCGAAAGTAATTTTTTTTCATGTCATTCAAAGTTCATGTGAGAGTAGTTGTTTTGGGAGGGATTTTATTCCAGTAAGTGTCTTAAAATAATTTTCATGCATTGCTTTCTTCCTTCTTTTGGAAGTTTCCCAATATTTTTGTATGGAGATGAAAAAGTAGAAGTGAAAAAGCTTATTTTCGAATTGATCTTTATGAAAATGCTTTATTCACAACTATTTGGATACGAAGTATATAACTATTTGTTATTATTTGGAAAGCGACATTCTGAAATACTCTGTTTTGTAAATAAGAAAATAACTCCGTGACTACATGTTGCATGTCGAGTAAAAAACCCAAAAATTGTCAAACTCCTAATCTTATTCAAAACCCAATAGTCTGAGAGTGAAAAATTTTATGTATAAACGCTACCGCGAAGAAAAAAACAAACAGATCTTCTTTGAACTTCTGAAACTAATGCTCATTTTTGATTCAAACTGTAACTATCTATAAGTTTTAGTTTTTTTAGGATTTATGGGATTGAAAACTTAAACAAACGTAGGGGAAATATTCTACAAAGAAAATACCATTAACATGATGAATATCTTGGGTAATCATATATTCTAACTTGAAACACATTCATCTATGTTTAATTCAGAATATGCAAAAGAGTAATTACGTCAATCAGCTTATCCTAACGGTAGAGGAGAGTCTATTACCAGAAAAAAAACATTATGAAAGTTCTCCTCGTGTCGCATTCGGATATTCATTCGAAAAAAAAGTTATGTTTGTTTTTGACTTCAATGATCATTCACTATGTTATATAAATTGTTCTACATCTGACTATTTCAGTTCATCGTATTCGCTGCCTTCGTAGCCGTTGCCCAGGCTAGTGTAGGTCATGTTGGTCCAGCTCTTGCTCTTGGCGGCCACAGCTCCGTCTCTGCCTACTCCACCGTTCAGCAACACCACCCATCAATCCACGCCTACGCCGCTCCAGCTGTTCACGCCTACGCCGCCCCAGCTGTTCACGCCTACGCCGCCCCAGCTGTCCACGCCTATGCTGCCCCAGCTGTCCATGCCTATGCTGCCCACGCCCCAGCTGTCCACGCATACGCTGCACCAATCGCCAAGGCCGTCATTGCCGAACCCTCCGCCCCAGCCAACTACGATTTCGGATACGGAGTAAACGACCCCCACACCGGAGACAGCAAAAGCCAACACGAATCCCGTCGTGGTGATGTTGTCCACGGCAGCTACTCCCTCATCGAATCTGATGGTACCAAGCGTACTGTAGACTACTCTGCTGATGCCCACAATGGTTTCAACGCTGTTGTCCACAAAGAACCTGCCGCAGTTGCCATCAAAGCCGTAGCTCCAGTTGTAGCTAAAGTAGCTGCTCCTATTGCCTACGCTGCTCCAGTAGCTCATGCCTATGCTGCTCCATCCCTTGTTCATGGATCTGTAGCTCATGGTTATGCCGCCCCAGCTATTGCTCACGGATACGCCGCTCCATCCGTAGCATACGGATATGCTGCCCCAGCTTTGGCCCATGGATACGCTGCTCATGGTTATGCTGCTCATGCCCCAGTTCTCTCACATAATGTTTGGTAATTTTTTATATCGACAGTTGTAAATAATGTATTTATGAAATATCAAAAGCAAAAAAAGTACCTATAATAAAAAATTGTTTTATATATTCAGTTTTGCTAATTCATTTCCATTTATTGCAACTCAAACGGTGGGTCATGACCCCCAAGGGGTTGTTGAATGTGTCCAAAGTGGTCTCGAGATAAGCATCAGTTGTTTTTTATTGAAAAAAGAATAAACAAAGTACAAGCTTTCAATACATATACAAGTTTTTTTGTTTTGTATCACTGGGAAACATGAGCTGTGTATGGAATAAACCAATTTTTGATGTCGTTTCAACACACAAAACAATATTTTCCATTGTCAGACGATTTCTTGATTTTGTTTTTGAATCCACCATTACGGAGAATCCTTGTTCAAATTTGTTAGATGCAGAAAAGGACATCACCGTTTTTAATGCTGTTGTAGACAGTTCTGGGTGTTTCTTTTCCATAGTCATTCAAAATTTGTCAAAGTAATGTTAAAAGTTAGTTATGCTGACTGATCAATTGAAATCTCTATGAGTTGATCATGATTAACAACTGTCATAAAACTACTGCAAGTGTATAAAATTAGGGAGCTCTACTACTGTCTCTTCTATGGAATATTTCTAGTGACAGAAAACCCATGTTGATTTTACTAGTTACTGGTTGTGTTTAGTTTTTAAATTATTGCTTTAGGGGACGCAGTTCTTGAAATTTTAAGAAGCCCCGGTTTAAACTATCCAAGCAGTGTTTCTCAATCTGTGGGTCGCGACCCCTACGGGGGTCGCAGTTATCTCTGTTCTTTTTCCAAAATATGTTAGAGTTACCCATTTCTTGATTTCTGGTTGTTTGACTTGAGGGTATATTAATCTGGTGAATTTCCGGCTTTGTTTCCTGACTAACTTCTGGATAGTATCTGCGTTGAAACCTATCTGTGTAATTATATTAATTTCCTTAGCTAGATTGTTAGCAGACAAGGGCCGTGAGAATGCTCTGTGCAACATTGAGTTGTAGGCTGCTAATTTATGACTGCCTGGATGGAAAGAATCGCTTGAGATGGTGATGTCTGTATAGCTAGGTTTTCTGAAAACATTGAACTCGAATTTATTCTGATTGTGTGTAATGGCCAGGTCTAAGAAATCTATCTGTTTCTCTATCTCTGTTTCGAGTGTGAACTGAATGTTGCTATTGAAATTACTCATGAATGCCTTGAATTGGTTCAGCTGTCGTGTAGTACCTCTGAAACAGGTGAGAATATCGTCTACATATCTGTACCAAAAATGAAAATGTTTTTTACCCAGGTCGGAATTTACTATAGTGGTCTCCATCGAAAGCTGTTGAAACTTCAAAGAAAGTGATATGGTCTACTTTGGCTTGATCTAATATGTCTAAAATGAGCAGCCTACACTCGCTGTACGGTATGTTGAAGAACATACTCTTTACATCGAATGAAACTAAAATTGAATTATGTGACGTGGTTTGGTTCCTTATGTTTTCTACTGAAGTCAGTGAATTTTTAATGCTATGAGGTGGGACGAAATTGTTAAGACGTATTCCTAGTTCTTTTATCAGACTATTTATATACGAAACTACTGGTCTTATGGGGTTATCCTCTTTATGTGTTTTTATCAGGCCATATAGTTTAGGGCAAGAGGGGTTCGTGTTAATGATTCTCCGTTTCTCCGATTCAATACTTGATGAAAATCCATATTAAAACTCATTGATGCAGTTTTTTGTATGATTTTCACTATAAAAGGTTTAACAAAAACCGCGACACGTGTTCCGCTATACAATAGGTTTCTCAAGCGCAAACGAATATTTTTTCAAGCTTGAGAAAGCTAGTGTATTGCGAAACACCTGTCGCGGTTTTTGTGAAACCCATTATTGTGAAAATCATACAATAAACTGTATTATTGGGTTTCATTCTTAGCTAATTGTTTTGAAAAATTATGTAAGTCTGGTTTTCCGTCAACCATCTCGGAAATCGAAATTTGTGCATTGCTTAGTACTGACGAGTTCTTTCTCACCTTTCAACGTGCGAGGTGCGATTCTCAGTACGATTCTCAGTAGCAATCAATTCCAAAATTTATGTATGTAGATCATATGTAGATTATGCATAGAAGTAACTTTCAGACACGAACTGGAAGAAAAAGCCTTTTCAAACTAGCTTTTTTCATATAATCATTGAATTACACGAAAGAAAAATATGATCTACACATTTTTGTATTGAGTTAATTTTTAAAATTGATTGCTTCCTCCCTTTCTTTGGTATATTCCCACATTTTTTGAATCAGGATGGAGAAGTGGAAGGCCAAAAACTTTCTGAGATTTGTCAAAGCTGCCTACACGTAACTGATAAATCAGGAATGGAATCGTATTCCATGTAACTAATTTATTTGTAAATTATAAAGCGCTTTCGGCTTTTACGCTATCATCAGTGCGATACCTGCAAGTAAGTAAAAGTAGTGAAATTTGTTTGAAGTTGAACTTTCAATTTTTTTTTTAATTACCAACTCGTTGATTATATATAAGATGATCCTGTAGAATCAGAGTACAAAACCTTAGTACAACACTACTCTGAGCAGACGTGAACATGAACATTTCAATAAATACCCTTTTGGGTTTAACATATTAATATTTTGTTTCAAAATTATACAATTATTCCCAACGTGCTCAATGACGAGTACGGGGAGGAAAATGCAGAGAAAATTTGACATAGACATGAGGTCATAATTAATTATAGAACATATTTAGTTTGACAAATGACATATGCAGTAACCACAATACGTAAAAATTCTCCAAGATGAGCAAAGAACTATTTATTCAATTGGGATTTTGAGAAATGTTGATTTTCAATTGGTTAATTTAGTCGTCTGTGTAAAGGAATGTATGATCTATTCAATTGTGGTAGTGTATTCAAAGGGGATTGTTATGTAATTCTCCGTCTATTTGTAAATCTTCTAGAAAATCCAACCTGTTAAAATTATTTGAATTGACTTCTTTTAGAATGTGTTAATTAATATTGGCGCTGAAATTATGTTGATTGAAAATAATATGTTGACCAAAAGCTGATTTGTCTGGTTCATTCAAGTGTTCATTATTCGATATTTCAAAGGTCTACAATTCCTTCCAATGTATGAAGCTTCACAAAGTATGGGCTCTGCTGTTTCATCATTTTTCAGACAGAGGCGACACACACTGTCTTCCGACAGTCCGAGTCTCTGCATATGATGCAGGCCTTTTTAAAGTGGCATGTAAGAAGGCCTGTTAGACATCGTAGTTCTTTCCTACTGTAGTCCAACAACTGTTTGGAATCAAGCTTCAAAGAGTGAATAAAAGCCTTAGAGTCAGTCAATCCTATAAGATTCTGCCAGAAGTCAATAAATCTTCTGTCATCCAGGTGTTCAATGTTTCTTTGGCAAAACCAAAAGTGATGCAAATAATAAGTTCTGGACCGATGAAACTGCTTGCAGCATCCTCCTTTGCAAGGGAGTCAGCAACCCCATTGCCAGAGACAATCTGTTAAGTCTTTCTATCGAGGAGAGTATTTTTGGCAATTTGCTAACAATTTAGACGTTGCTCGGTAGGAGCCAAAAGCTTCCAACGCCGCTTGACTGTCCAAGAATATTTCTATTGACTTGTGTAGGAGATTGGATTCTTCCAATCTCTCCGCAGACAATTCAATAACGTAAATTTCCACTTGAAATACAGTCGCATAGGTTTCCGGCAGGTTGATATCTCTGTACTGGGTCTGCGACTGAAAACACCTGTACCAGAACCGCAAAGCATTTTTGATCCATCTGTGAACCAACAACTATCTGCTCTTAATATTTCCTTCTCCCGGAGGATCCAGTCCTCTTTATTCGGGAACAGTACTTTATAAGGCAGTTCGTAGTTGACAGTTTCTTGAATGAATCACAATATGAATCACAATATGAGAAAATGAGTATCTAAGTTTTATTCCATAGAATGATGTTGATTCTTTGTGTTGACTTAATTGAAATTTGAATAGCAATTTTTGTATTACAATATTACAAATAATAATTAATTTTCAATAGTTGAACTTTGGTAATTTACTTTGTTATGAAATATCCATATTAAACAAGAGTAGGCATAAAGTTAGAGGTCATTTCCAGAATGCTGTGACATCCAGTGTCAACCAACAGTTCGACATGTCCAAAGGGATAGTCTGGCTTTGTGTAAAACTTTTTCCAAGTGAGCGTTCCTGGTGAGTTTTTTATCAAGAATAATGCCAAGATATTTGACCTCTGTTCCAAATGGAATGACCTCACCATTGAGGGAAAGTGACGTTATATAATCCAATTTTCTCCTCCTGGTGAAGGGGATTATCACAGTTCTGCTGGAGTTGACAGACACCTGAGAGACTAAATGGTTACTTAAGTTATTTGAACTTTTGAAAACATTTTTTGCATCCTTTATTCTGTTGCTAATCAGTCTGGAAACTTTCAGAGGGATATTTTCATTTAGAAAAGGTACCAATAAATATTTACAAGGTTCTTCAATAATGGGATAAGTGAGATTTTGTTCTCTTTTGTTCTTGACCTTACAAATTGAATCCATGATGATATTGGAGTTATAGCCATTGTTGTAAGCAGTGCGTTTGAGGATATTTAGCCCAGTGTTGTAATTCCTATGTGTCAGTGGAACATCGAGAAGTATGTGAATGTGGCAATAAAAGGCTGCCAAAAACTTCCTTTCTCAAAAACTGAGTTAGATTATGAGTTGGTTGTAAGTTAGGAGTAATTTATTGATAGTGTTTGAAAAAGCAATTATAGCTATAGTGGTTTTTGTGAAAACTTTCATGGTGCAAATGTCAGAGTGAAGTGTATTGGTTGGTATTATTATCACCGAGAAGCCCATCATAACGCCGTAACTCATTACAGCAACCAACCAGCTTCAGCTCGAAGCAATATTGGATTCTCATACTCCGAAATCGGTTCATAAGATACGATCATGTGTTAGTGAATTAATTTGAAAGTTTGCGAGTTACGGTGCAATGTGAGCCTTTGTACCCGATCACAA